AAAGAGACAACCAGGAAACTCATAATAATAGGAAAGGAAACGGTGGTAGCGGCAAAAGGACAGGGCACTAAAAGGGTGCCGCTAGGCGCCACAGGGGGCTGACGCGGTGGGCTCCATTTCGGCCTCCGCGGAAAGGGCTAGCCGTTTGCCAACAACTCATCGTGCTGACTTCACTCATATTCTACCCATCCTCCAGTAATCAACCCGATTCCATCAACACAAAGAGACGCTCATCTAACCTGAGCTGTAAGTTGGAGCCCTGGTTGGCCAAGACGAGATTGTAGCAGAGCCGCTGCAGTACCACTCATACCAATGCCATGCGGGCAGCTTGATCAGCGACGTGCTGGGCACCGCTGCGCGTCTTGCAAGAGGTTGCATGCAAAGGTTTGAGCCCCTTTTACAACTGTCCAAGTGAGCGAAACTAATTCTGGTCAGTGTAATGGTGGCCGCCCGTGTTCAAATTGCGTAGTTCGTGGCCTAAAGTGCGCTTCAACGGGACCATCAGCGGGCTTTCAGTTTGTCCAGCAGCAAGCCTCTTCAGTCCCTAGGGCTTTGGTACAAGACTCTTGGAAATACATCAGCACTTACTTCCAGTCGGTTGGATGCTTGACGCAAGCGTCTGTAATGCGAAGCGCCGATGTGACGGCACTCTCCCATCGAGACGAGAACGTCAGTCGCATGCTGTCAATCATGGGTGGTCTTTACGCCTGTCAAAACCCTCAAGTATTGCGCGTAAGCCAGAAAGAAAGAAAGACACTCTTAGGTACATGGGTGAAACAAAAGGCTTTGATGGCGGCGGAATTGAAGAAGCCTGACCCATCGTCCTTCAGCTCAGTTTTACTCAGTACCCTCCTTTTAGCAGTGATCGAGGTGCGTGTCCAGGTCTCTTTTCACGTGTTCATTAATTATAGGCTAATAATACAAAGCTAGTTCTTTGTGCCGAAGATGGCGCCTTCCAAAAATGGCTGCAAAGAATCTCGAGCTTCATTGCACAACATCTGGAAGCAAAGAGTTACGCCGGCTTGACTACGTTCGAGAGAAGTTTGATCCGCTTTTCCAATTTTCTCAACACGCTTTCCGCCATTGCCCTGAACGAAGAACCGTTGGATCGTCAGATGGACTTTGAGCTTTCATCGTCGCGCCCAATCGCACCTAGAACTATTTCAGACGAAGACGAAATAGACGATATGCTCTCATCCCTTAAGCAGTGGGCTAGACTACAGTCAAGGTAAGCTCCTGAACTCATCATCGTCACAAAATGCGCAAAAGGCTTGGTACAGAGGTACTCACTACCTTAGGATGGTCGAGTGGGCTCTCAAGTTGGAAAAGAGCACCATGACACTTCAATTTGATAAAGATAGCTATCGGGAAGCCATAGACCTCAAGGTACAAGGCCTCGATATCATCTGTGAGGCATCGGCTCTTCAAGCTCGAGTCATCAACGATCTCCTCCGACTGTCAGAAGAACCCGATAGCCAGGTCTCTATCTGCATTACTCCTTACTATCATTGGACTCTCACTGGGCTGTCTCACCGCCTGTACCATGAAGCCTGGAAAACACTCAAGTGCGAGCTCCCGGTGTTGCCGGCCGAATCACTCCATCAGCAAGCACTAGTTACGCTTGGCTGCGTTGAGACGCTTGCCAGCCAATCAGGCTTTGATGTCGCACTGTATCTGCCTTTTGCCGACTTCATAGGACGAGAGATGGAAACGCCGACAGAGCAGACTCGTGTGCTTGCGTTCCTCGAAATTGTCAGATCTCGTGGCTTTGGACTGGCAAACGAATACAGGAAAGGCTTGCTAGAGACCTGGGGAGCTGCCACGCCAGCTGAAATGTCTCAAAACTTGTTGATATGTGATCCGAGCCGTGGAGGTCCCGAAACTTCGGGCAGGCACTGACAACGATACGACATCTAGACCTGCAAGGGTCACAGATATAAGCCTTGTGCCCCTCAAAATATGGCCATATTGGGTCAACATGCAGTTAAAATAAGACTCGAAGCAGCCGGATCAGCATTGGACAGACTACGAAATATGTGGAATTTGATGTCTCACAACCTTGGAAAGATGCCTACTGATTCTCACCAGCCCTCACTGTTTATTTATAGACGAGACTCACTCATTCTACACGAAGGCCAGAGTGGAATATTACTTCTCATTACACTCGCCATGTTTCTCTCCTCCTCCGGCCGACGGAGCTCGAATTTATGGGTCTACGGACCCACCGGTGGTGTCTACCCGGACAGAGCCCCACAGTTAGCTAGCGCCGCGAGATTTTGTCCCAAAATGGCAAGATTGGCTAGGATGTCAAACGTCAGACTAAACCCGTCACCGCTCTCTGGGGGTTCGATATGAGTCTATTTCACTCTAGCTTTTCTACCGTATTAATATTTACCAAAAGGTTTCGTTGATGGTTGCTTAGGGGACTCTCTACCACGTTAACCGGGCAGAGAAGATGTTGGACAAGCGTTCCAAATTCAGAACTTTAGTGCCCACGTCAGTGGTACGCCAAATGACACTTTTGTTTCGTGGCAGAGTTGACTGGGACAAATCATGTCTAAAGGAGGCGTGCCTAAGGTAACTGTTGGCGAGATCCCAATGAAAACCAGCGGATTGGCGGCTAGATTAGATAGCTCAGGCCTTGTCAGGCCATGGCAAGTTGCGACTAGGCACATGTAGGATGTGGGCCACGGCGGAATGCGTCTAAGCCACGTTCTGACGCGATGTGCGGACTCACTGCACCTGTGCGAGGCGGACTTGGTGTGTCGGACACCCTTTCTGCCCGATTCCTGCGGAACATCGGGGAGCTGGGTCATTGATGACTGAGTAGACTTTAGCTGCCGATTTTTCTAAATCCCGTCCCTTGGCATGAGGTGAGATTTATAAAACTTCCTACGCGCCGACTCGCCCCGGGCTGCGGAGCCGCCATCACCACCCTCAGTGCCCAACTCGTTTACATTATTGTCATCAGCTTCACCCCGCCGGTGCATCGTTCAGAATGGCTGACTTACCCAACGGCCTCATCGCTTTCGGACCTGAAGCCAACTGCACACTCGACCTTTGTCCGATAGAATGGAGTATTCTTCGTTACCAGCCTTCTGTTCCCGCTAGCGGCACCTTCATTGGGTTCTTCTCTTTAGCTTTGGCTTTACACGCCCTTCTGGGGTTCAAGTGGAAAACTTGGGGTTTCACAGCAAGCATGATCAGTGGCTGTGTTTTGGAAATCGTTGGCTACGTTGGGAGACTCTTCATTCACGACAACCCATTTGACTTTAATGGGTTTCTCATGCAAATCAGTCAGTTTCTGCCCTCCTTAGGGAACTCTGCTTGAGTTGCCTGGTTCACGTGAATGATCTTAGAGCTAAAACCTTTTTTAGTTTGCATTACAATAGCTCCGGTCTTCTTCTCTGCCGCCATTTATGTTACACTTTCTCAGACGTAAGAGCTTCCAGAATATTCGTTGCCTAAGCTTTGGATACTGAGTAGGCCTTCCTTAAGCATCAACTTCCTCGATCGATCGATTTCCCGATTTCCACCTCGCCTCTACTACTGGACATTTATCCCGATAGACATTGTCTCCTTGATTCTCCAGGCTGTAGGAGGCGCGATGTCCTCCGTCAGCACGACGAAGGAGGCTGCGGACCGAGGCGTCAAAATTTCACTCGCTGGACTTGTGTTACAAGTTGTCTCGCTTGCGGCGTTCTGCGGACTTTTTGGAGACTACATGATCGCTTACAATCGATCGAAAACTCGTCCTCCGATGAGCAGGAGACTCGTGGTCTTCCTAACTTTCCTGAGCCTTGGTACCATGTTTGTACTGCTGCGTTGCGTCTATCGAATCGTGGAGCTGCATGAGGGCTACTTCAGTCACTGGTTCCGAGACGAAACACTGTTTATCGCGTTAGAGTCAGCGTAAGTGACCCTTTTTTATGTTTGACAAGAGTGAGTGCTGACATTGCCTAGCGTTATGGTTCTAGCCGTTTTTTCTTTGTTAGTCGGACACCCGGGACTTGTATTCAATAAGAAGGAGAGAGAAAGACTTGACGCAAACAATGCGCTCAATCCAGAGTCACGCGAGGGCGGTGGTAGCAACGATAAACCCGAGAACAATGCGGTCACAGATGGGAGCGATACGTCAGTCAAAGATCCGGCGCCAGCAGCAGCTAGAGAGAAGTCAGCCTTGTCCGCAAGCGTTTAGAAGGCAATGTGTCACAAGTAGAAGTTATAGATGAGACAAAGAGATGGGCAGCACTTTGGTAGAGAAGAGACATACAGGATAGAAGTAATTGTCTTGCGACTACTATATATATTAATGGCACCTGCTTTAGTATACTGCCTACACTTAGCACCAGATGCGACGTGTTCTTGAAAAGCTTGCCAGGTCACCAGTGATCAACTTTCCCCTCCACATGTCAATGTCAGTGTATCAATTTCCTAGCAGCGCATGCACGGACGAGGGACAATCATCCGAACATGGTCATGTGTCGAGCCTTGACAAAGATGATGGTTCCTCGGGCTCTCAGTCTGATGCCTAAAATCGGTCATTGTTAGCCTGAATCTAGGTAGAATCAGCTACTGATCTAAATCGGCCGACCCAACATATTCTTTTGCCACAATGAATGATAATATTGTCCAGCAGAAAGAGGTTTAGGAATCTCAGAATCTCAGACGGTGTAGGTGCATGGAGTTCCATGCCACAATCCTGGAAGCTATTCAATTATTAGGTCTGCTATCAATAACACATCATGTTCTTTAGACGCTCTTGACAAATTGTAATGCATTCACCGCTCGAAGCTTTCTTTGTTTGTTCACCTTCGTTCCCCATGGCAGACGGGGACTCAACTTGTGGTAGGTATTCCTAGTATATAAAAAAAAGCACCATTGTCTCTTTCGATCTCGCCGGATTGATTTCTAGGGGTATAAACTCTTCTATACCATTTCATGAGCAGTAGACATAATAGGAGCCCAGCTCAAAGTCTTGAACTTTGCAAGGTACCAAACTAATCATGTTGATTTCGCAGTTTTGCAAATCTTGTTGCACTTTCCGCTGCTAAATTTGATTGCCCGACGTGACTTTTGTATTGATTCTTAGCAGCTAGTACGTCTTCATACTTGTTGTTGAAAGATCCACGGCGATCGGCATGACTTGGTGGAGGTGTTAGCGATATCATGCCTCAATGTCGACTACCAAATCACTCACGTCTGCGCGTTCGAGCTCGCTGTGCCAGCCAGTGGTGCTAGGATCTGGTGGCTTTCGACGCTGTACTTAAAGCCATTGATTGTGGTGCCATTTGGAATCAGTCCAGGAGGATAGGGTCTTCTTGATCCTAGAGGGTGAGCTGTGTTTTTGTATGTGGTGTTTGATGCCTTGGTTTCTGCGTGCGCATGCTTGTATGCAGTGTACTTTGTGTGGATCGTGTGATCTGGTATATATTCAAGTTTATCGTCGAGACCGGAGTACGTCTTTGGAAGTTTGTTAACGACTTCGGGGTCTGGTATCAAGCTCATGGTCGGTCTGGACTATGGTAGGATGTAATGTGGCTGAAGCTCCGGTAGTCCATAGTCTTGCTGATAAGCCGCGATCAGTAATTTGAGGTGGTAGTTCTGCGGCGGACTGGTAATAGAAACAGAGATATTAAATATACGAATGCGTGTTATCTCAAAAGAAGGAGAGAGGACGCGAAAGCTGGTGACAAGTTTATGCAGCCACTCGCCATGAGGGTGAAAGGGAAGTCTTTGACTTGAGAGCTGGAGAAGGCCCTGTTGCCATGACTTTCACCTCGATGAGAGGCGAAGACTAATAAATAGAGCTACGGTAAAAGTATTGTAGTGAATGTGGCTGTTGGCAACGGTCTATTGCACGCTAACTGACAAACATCACTGTGATAACTGGCAAGTGAAAGAGAACCTAGCTTTGGGGGTATCTTTAGATGAAAACAGGTCTGTAGATCTTGTCATGATCAAACACGTGACGGCTCGTAGACAAAAAATAGGGCGTTATTCGCGTCTCAGCAGCTGGCGGTCGGTCTGGTGGTCGGTCTGGTGGTCGGTGAGGTGAATGCCGTCAAAGACGTGAGCACCCGCCTACAGCCTACTAGGTACAGTGGGTCACAGTATGAGACAAACTTCCTTCCCATCACTTCTTCACCCTTGCCGCCCACCCGAATTCCCTTTTACATCACTGAGTCTTGAAAATCCATTGGCCTTCTCTCTCTTTTCTTCTTTCACCCCCCCACCCCCCCCGGTTTTCGCTTTCCAGACAGAATCGCGGTCGCAGATCGTGGCCGATGTGAGAATGCCTTCGATTGCAGACATTCCTTGCGAGCTGGTGTCATCCATTCTGCGAAGCCTGGACGATTTCGAGACTCTTACCTGAGCTTTGCTCGCATGTCGCCATATTTATACCTCCTTCAAGCAGATCGCCGGCACTGAGTTGGCCATTCTTCGTCGGAAAATCGGGCTAAACCTACTCCCGTATGCCGTCGCGCCTTCTATCGCGTCGACTTATTCTACATCCTTTTCGGCGCGGTCGGAAACCTCAACGGACTGTCCGGAATGGGAAACTTGCTCTTCCACAGACATCCGCCGTGGGTGAAAGAACAACTTGGCTGGGTACATGACTTCATTGAGGACAAGTTTCTTGAAGGTAAGTTGCTTGGGTACCACAATCTGTTCCGTAATATTCACCCATATATATTTGACCAGCTTCCATCGACGTCCTTGCCCACGATGTCACCTTCGGCGAATTTGAGATCGACTATTTGACAACCGGCGGAGATAACATGATGATACAGTCATGGGTTAGTACTCTCTACCAATCGTGAAACTGAATACGTTTCTAGTATGCGACTGTACTACTGATTGGGTGTCATAAAGCTCTCTCACGGACTCGACTTCCTCCGTCGTTTGATATTGAGAACGTCTCGAGAGTCTAAGCGAGTGCTACTTTAATAGGCATTCAATGCCGGCACGACTAATCTTCCCGATGCGTTTGGGTGTATCATGGATGACCATACTTACAACAACACCGACTTGGAAGACTTCAGTGCATCTGAGCTTGCGACGATACTTCCCGCCTGCGAGAACGTTTGCAACACGGACAAGGGCCTTACGCGGGTTGGTATGCGGCTAACACTTTTGTGCCGCCGCCTTGCTGGGTCTACAGACCCGAGAACAATTGGCCGAGGAGACGTACAGACGTCTTTGGGATTGGGTCTACATTCGAGGGCCTGACGTTCTGAAGCTGTTTGCCATCGCCAGATGTGAAGACGATGGTCCTTCCGCTGAAGCATTGGAGGAGATGGAAAAATCCTTCAAGCAGAGATCCTTGATCTGGCAGACATCGACCATGATGTCTTGGAGCAAAGGATACGCCAATCACAATCTTTAGCCAGGCCAGTAGCGGGATCCACAATAGCATGTCGCAGGTTCTGATGGTTTACCAAGTATATAGCAAGACAAGGAACCATAGATCATAAACATAGAATCCAAAAGATAGTCTCCTGTATATCGCGCAGCGTCCGATCACATTTGGGTCGAAACGACAGCTTGGAAACTAGGAGATGAAATCGACATGTCGGAACTGGCCATGGTCAAGCAAGCAAAATGTCGCATGCAGTTGAGTTTGGTTCAGAGAGGTTTATACATCGGACGTGGGTCCGGACCTTCAAATCGGAATAAGCTTAGTCATGCACCGGTCCTCGGTGAATTGACCCCAACGTTCACCGAGACGAGAAGCTCCCCAAAAAAGCCCACGACCTACATGAAACAGCGTCACCGGCTGGCCATTGCAGCCACATGTCTTCTCATATCAAGCTCTCGCGGCTAAATCTGCGGCCATTGAGCTCAAGATGCAGCGCGCAAGCTACGCGACAGCAGAGACGATCTCACCATGACTTCAATCACTTTGTGTGCCGGTCAGGTACGAGGCAGCTCACCCATCCCTCCTCGATTGTGCCAGAGCTAATAGGAAAGCCGCAGATGCCTCCGAAGCTACACTCCAATCGCCGAACAAATTCAAGTTAGCGGTAAAGGACAATATCGCGACCGAAGGGCTGCCGACAACATGCTCCTCCGCCATCCTCTCCTCCCACAAAAGCCCCTACGAGGCCACCATCGTGCGCCAGCTCCGGAAACGAGGTGCTCAAGTCGTAGGGAAGACAAACATGGATGAATTCGGCATGGGATCCCACTCGCTGAACTCGATCCACGGGCCTGTACTCAATCCGCTGTCTGCGACGCCGACCTCTGCTGGCGGAAGCTCAGGAGGCAGCGCGGTTGCGGTTCAGACTAGGGAAGCGGACGTCGCGCTCGGGACGGATACGGGCGGTTCAATTCGCCTTCCTGCGGCGTACTGCGGTGTGGTTGGATATAAGCCCTCCTATGGCATGCTGTCGAGGTTCGGGGTTGTTCCGTATGCGAACTCCTTGGATACCGTTGGTCTGCTTGCTAGGGATGTTGATGTTATCGAGGATTTAATGTTCAGCACGAGACTGGACGCGGAACATGACTCCCAGGACCCGACATCCTTGTCAAAGAGCTTCCGAAAGAAGCAGCAGAGTCAAGCGGCCACTGGTCGGTCACGGCTACGCATCGGCATTCCTCTAGAATACAATATCGAGGAATTGGATCCCAAGATCAAAGCAGCCTGGTCTGACGCAGCAGACCTTTTGCAGAAATCCGGCATAGAGGTGGTTCCGGTATCATTACCGTCCACAAAGCACGCTCTATCAGCATACTACGTCATCGCACCGGCAGAAGCATCTTCCAACCTCGCCAAGTACGACGGCGTCCGCTACGGCACCCGCGGCGACGAGAGCGATGGCGCTGGCGAGGTCCTTTACTCCAAGACTCGCGGTCTTGGCTTCGGCGAGGAAGTCAGACGCCGCATCCTCCTCGGCGCCTACAGCTTGAGCTCCGAGGCAATGGACAACTATTTTATCCAAGCCCAGCGGGTGCGCAAGCTCGTGCAGCGAGACTTTGACCGCGTCTTTAGGCTGGAGAACCCTCTCTACGACGAACAGCAGTTCGACTTGAGCGATATGAAGGATGAGGTCGAGCTTCAGGATAAACTCGGCCCTTCGCAGGTGGACTTCTTGTTGTGTCCTACTGCGCCGACGTTTGCACCGCGTATTGAGGACATCAAGCGGCAGACACCGGTGCAGGTATACATGAATGATGTCTTTACAGTGCCGGCCAGTCTCGCTGGGCTGCCGGCCATCAGCATCCCTGCCAAGATCAAGTCGGAGGATGAAGAGGTGGACGGTAGCCAGCGTGTCGCGGGTCTCCAGCTGATCGGTCAGTACTGGGATGACAAGCGGTTGCTCAGCGTGGCCAAGAATCTCCTTAGCCAGTTACCTGCTTGATCATAAGTCAATCGCCAGAAGGCTGGCAAGCACTGTGTAAGAATAATCGTCGCCGTGTGAGAGGCGGCGCTCTGGAAAAGTGTACTGTACAGTAGAATACAAATGGAATATACCCTGGGGGATCAGCCCACCCACCCTTTCATCCGATACCTCAACGCCACGAGAGAAGCCCCTATAGGTCTACTCACTTCCATTCTCGTCACCAGCACAGCAGGCGCCCTCTAGGTCGGGGGTCAGGTCAAACTGTGGCGTGGGTGGTGGAATGGTTAATAGTCACCAATTATTCACGCCAACCAGCCTACTCGACGACAGGCTTAGCGAGTACCCGAGTTCGAATCCCAGCATGAGCGCCAGAGATGTAGCCCCCAGTTCAGCACCGGGGGGGTGAACTCTTTTGTCTTTTGCATCTCCAAATGATTAGTCATTATTGTATCATACGTTGATGAGATAGAGATTCCTCGAGCACTAAAGTCCATCTGCTTCATACATTCAAACCATGCTTTTGTCTATTTCGTGCTCTGCTCGGTAGGAGCGAGAGATTGGGTATCATTCTTCGCCATCGCCATATACTCAAGGTGACCGGTTTCTGCTTCTAGACCTCGATCTTGACCTCGACCTTTCCACATCCATCGGCTCCCCAGCAGCGCTCCTATCCTCCGCCACCTCCCCTTCCGACTCGTCCGCCCCATTCGCTCCCGCATTCTCCTCCCCATTCTCTTCCTCATCATCCAGGAGCTCGTCAATATCGCCCAACGGACTAATCCTCTCCTCAAGCTCGCCCAAATCCACCAAGTCAACCCTTTTAGGCAACTCCCTGAAACTCGTCGCGCACACCCTCGTCTTGGTCAACAAATCATCCACAAAGTCATCCATAAACGTCAAACTCGTTCCCGCCCTCCCCTTCCTCCTCAACTTCCTCCGATCCTCCAAAAACGGCTCCAGTAAAAGGTACACATCCTTTGCCTTCCTCGTCATGCGCACGTAGAAACACGCCAGCGCGCGCAGGTACTTGAACTTATCCCCGCCGAACCCCAGGTACGTCTCCAGCACCTCGTCCGACGGCGCGAGCTGCAGCAGCTTGAAGGCGAGGCACAGGAACGGCGTGGGCTTCTGCGTGACGCCCGAGGTGCCGCCTATAAACGTGACGTGCTCGACGACGCGGTCGACAATGTCGGCCTCGTTGACGGCGAAGCACTGCTCTTTGTAGAAGTAGGAGTCGATGATGCGCTCGCGGACCGCCTTTTCCATGATTGTGGCTGGGTTCTCGCCGTTTGGGGCTAGGGAGGCTGAGGAGCCGCGTTCGTCGAGGAAGCGCCGCTCGTCGGCGTAGACGAGGTCGGGTTTGCTCATCTTTGCGATTTGTGTCTCTTTTTTCCGGGGGAAAGGGTAACACGGTGTCGTCGTCTAGGTTTCGGCGTATGACTTTGCGAATCGATTGTGATGCGGGAAGTGTCAATGGAGATTAGGATTGAGTGGAATTGAAAAGTCGCGATTTGTCGAGGGTAGCTCTTCGGGTAGTGGGGTGGGCAGTGATGCGACGGGAGCTTTCACGAGTGACGCAGGTTGGAAAAGTTGGGAGGTCGTTGCCGAATTGAAAAGGCGCTTATCGATTGTTGCCGTGCGAACCAAGTAAACAGCCCACTTCCAAGTTCACGCTCACGCCGCGCACCTCCAACGACTGCGACGCTGGCCAAGGGTGAAAAGCCGACGCCATCATCGAAGCTCTAAATCATCCTCAAATCATTCAAACCATCTATGAAACTCTACTTGAAGTGTTGGAAATATCAAAAACGACCATATATTCATCACAAAATTCCACAGTTTGCTGCCATGGTGCTCCTCACCTCGTCCCAAGTCTCCGTCCTCATCTCCTCAGCCATCGGTAACACCCGCCCTTCCCCCCGTTCCCGCATTCCAGTCCCGCACCCCCAAATCAAACAGAACAAACAGGCTAACCTCAGCAAATGCGTTCCTGCGCGCGAGGCGGCAAGCCGCGTTTGCGTGCAAACGCATTTTCCGTAAATCCAACAGTCGTCTCATGTACCGCGGCCCTCTTTCTTAGTGGCTACGTAATCCAGCAGCGCACGCTGAGCCAGCTGCGCCAGGCCATCAAACCCGAAACGCGACCCTCTCCAAAGGCGTCGTACTACGTGCCCGAGCATCTCAAGGACGCAGCAGGCAGCGGGCAGAATGTGCCGCTCTACGGGGGCGCGAACGGGAAGCAGGAGCAGATCATCATCGAGGTGAACCCAACGGTGCCCGACAAGCAACAGCAGGAGCAGCCGCAGCAGCAATCAAAGAAACAAAAGGCCGGACAAAAAGCAGCGGGATGGACGTCCGACATGTGGCAAAAGATGATGGGGCCGTCGGAAAAGGAGGATAAGGGCGGAGTCAGCAGGGAGGACTTGGAGAAGATGGACGAGAGGGAGAGGAATATCAACGGGTGGAACGTCAAGGACCAAGCGAATCCGGACCCCGAAGCGTCGAACCAGAAGCCCATCAGCCGGGCCGAGAGACGGCGTCTGATCAAAGAAGAGCTGAGGCGGCTGTCGGAGAGCGAAGAGAGGGTGTACTACCAGCGACGATTATGGTAGACATGAAGTTGGGATGGGATATATATGGGACATGAATTGCGGTTTCCATGAGTATACATATGGGAACTTTGGCGTTCTTGAGTTTTTTGGGAGATTGATTAGGAGGGATGTTAACGAATTCGATATATATAGGTCGATTATGTATACTCATGTAGATAGGAGACGTCGCATCGGAGCAAACGAAACTAAAAGATGTTGCTGGACCCGATCAATATGAGCGTTTGTATTGATGTGCCGAGAGGACTACTTGAAATCCACATGCCAAACGATCATTTTCGTCAAAGCCAACCCCACCACGGCCCGCGAGCCGGATTCATGCCTTCGTCAGCGTTGTTGAATCATCATGTCTCTCCCAATGTACCCTGAACGCCAAACCCCAAAGCAATGCGATTTCAAACGCAGCCAACGCCTATTCTTTTCCTTCATGCCGACGTAGCTTAAGCGTGGCGGTTGGCGGCATCTTCAAACGCCTCTCTCTGCATTCTCTCCAGCTCCTCAAGGGGAATCTGGCTGTTTTGGAACTTGTTTGCCTTCTTTTCACGGCCCTGTATAGGTTGTCAATGACCAAATGTTCTTGTGTGTGTGATTGTGTGCTAGGTGGCCCAAAGTCTCGACATACCTTTTGCACTTCTTTGTGCTCTGCGGCGGCCTCTAGCACGGCCGGGACGTAGTCTGCGAAACCCAGTTGCTCGAGGGCCTTGGTGATGTGGTCGCACGCGATGGTCTTCTTTGCCTCCTTCTCTGAGATCTCGTTGGCTTCCGAGGAGATGAGGGTGATGAACTCGACGCAGCACTCAATAAGCAGGTCACGAGCCTCCTTGGCGAAGGCAACGCCAGCTGAGGGCGGCAGAATCTCGGTGACGATCTTTTGGACGGTGGCTGTGTGGCATATTAGCTTGAAATTCTCCGACGAAGCGAGAGCAAGAGATGCACCACGAGAGCGAGCATCTCTTGGGGGTGGAGTCACGTACCCTTGGGCAAGGACAAGTCATCGTTGCCTAGTAAAGTCATGTCAGCATTTCAGGTTCAAGAATCAGGCTGAGCGAACCCCGAAAGATACCCAGGCAGTATACGCGCCCGTAAGTGTCCCTCACACTGAACGACATGTTGGTTGTGAGGAAGTGCAATGAGACCGTCGCATGATACAGACAAAGCTGCGTCATGCAACGTCATTTACATGGACCATCGGTAGGGTTGGGGTGCTCTTGCAGAGAATGCGCATGTCGCTTTGTAGGCCCGGCAGTGAAGACCAGGCAGGCACACGGGCGGAGCAAAGTAGAAGCCTCATGAAGAGCGCCCGAGTGCGAAAGGAAAGGATGAACTTCACTTACCCGCAATATCGTGATCAGACATGGTTGTGGTACGAGACGACGGTGTCGATGAAACTGGAAAAGTTGGCTAGATTGAGAAACGTGGTCGATTTTGTTTGCTTTTCAACAAGTATTAGGCTTTGGCCTTGGCAGAGATGAGAGACTGCAGGAAAGAGTCGTGATATTCTTGTGTCGACCGTTGACTTATACGGAAATTGGTAGTTGGTGGTGAAGAAGACGCGGTGGCGGGGTGGACGTGCAATTTGATTAGGTAGGCTAATCGCCGACTTTGTAGGTCTGGCTCACTCAGTCTCCGGCCGTGTGTTTGGTGGGGTCTTTTATGCTCCTTGGGATGCGGGACATCGAGTGCATTTGAACCCCCCGCGCACCTTGAGGAAGCAGGGGCCACTGAGCCACAGAGTGAAGGCTCAGTCACTGCCTGGTCCCGCCTTGGTGGGGCGCACTTTTTACACCACAGTCGAATTCCATTCAGGGACGGGACAGCGGTGCGCCGGCGAAAGATACCTCCGTGGCTCCGCGATGCACGGACCAACAGACCCCAATCACTCCAAATTTTTTCTTAGCCTTAAAAGACGAGATATTCTGCGATGGTTCAGCCTCTTCTTCTTTTTCGCATCAGCAAACAGCAGAGCTCAGAAAATAGCCATGCGTTCTTATTTCAGAGCAGGCGGCGGCTCTGCTGATTGCTTGGATTGAACTTGGTAGGTCTTTCCCTTCCCTCTTTCCCGCCCTCCCCTCGATATGATGAGTCTTGTTGTCGCCCCAAACTTACGAGGAATAACTCCCCTCATAGTGGTGAATGACCTTCCTGCCAAACGGAAACGCCTGATCTGTCACCATGAATCATTCTTTGTCTGCAGTTCTAGCCTTTAGATCGCATTGCTAACAATGATTTCAGGAAGTGCAAGCGCTTACTACCAATTCAATCGATTCACTGCTATGGCCGAATGCGCCAGCAACGATGGACAACTCTAGATACTGAACAGCCGAGTCGCACGGCTTGAGAACCTGGGTGCCAGACAATGTCTGCTAGTGTGTCGGTTATTGCGGGCTTTGCTCACCATATCATGCCCGTAGATCTCCAGTTCAAGGTAAGCCGCAAACGCGAGAATTTCTTTCCAATTTCGCCTGTAAAGGTTTGCCAGTGATGATGAAACATATTCCATGCTAATCCTGAATAAACAATGTGGAATAACATATGAGCTTTTCATCTTTCATCTGAGGCATCTTGTTACCAATGTTTTTCTATCTACACTTCTATGGCAAAACAGTTGCTAACAATCAAATTCTAGTGAACTTCTCTACTCCGCATCATGATACGCTGAAAGCTCTCCGGCTTGCCACTTGAAGTACTTGCCCGAAAGGTCGTGCTGAGGCTTGACGACGAACCGCGCCATGACGCTGCCGGGCTGCTCAGGCTTGAACAGCTCTCCCTTGTCGAACGCAGATACGAAAGAGGTGTGGTCCTTGTCGGCCATGTGCCCGGCTCCTGTGTCGCGGATGACCTTTTGCATGGCTGTGTCGACGCGGCCTGGGCTCATGGCGATGCTGGTGATGTCGGGTTCCTCTACTGCCAAGTGTGCAGAGAGGTGGTTCATGGCGGCCTTGGAAGTACCGTAAGCTCCCCATGCGGCGTATGCGCCAGTGGCTGCGCCGGATGACACCCAGAGGACGCAGCCCTTGCACTTGCGCAGCTCGGACAGAGATGATTGGACCTTGACATGATCAGGTTAGAGAGTAGTAGATAAATGAATCAGAGTTTTCACTCACCAATGCGAGCCCACTAAACACGTTAATGTCGTATGCCTTTTTCCATTCCTCGATTGAAGAGTCTGCTATACGGGTGACGGGCTCCAGGACGCCGTGGTTGATGACAAGTCCATCAATCTTGCCAAAGGCCTTGACTGCAGCCTCGGCGATCTTTGGGATTGTCTGCGTTCATTGTCAATTCTGAAATCTTTATCGGAGCCATGTTTTAGTCCTACCTTGAGATCCCCCAAGTCTCCGGCAACATACTCGACCTGTCCGGGATGAGCAGCCTTCAGAGCCTCCAACTGATCCTTGGACCTCGCCGCCAAGACAACCTTGTGGGATTCCTTGATGAGGTGCTGGGCGATGGCAAGACCAATGCCTCGGCTGGCTCCGGTCACGATAATCACCTTGGAGGACATATTGTGTGCTATGGTCTGCTTTGCGAGAGATGCAAAGTTGAGTTTGGTGGCTGTTCCCAGGTTTATTTCCGACTTATGATCAAGGAAAGGGGTGCAGCAAGCGGGACAAGTAGAAAATGACTCTGCAACGTGAAGATTGACCGGGAGGCTTGCGCCATTCCGATGCAGCGGAGCGCTCTTGCTGTTTCTGCCCTTGTGCCGTGGAGTGGGGCGTGGACCATTGAGTGTCCTTATCTTATCAGGTTGGCGGGGTCGAGAGCTCCGGTCTGCTTGAGCTCGAGCTCTCATGACATAACGTCATTGTTCGAGATCCGATCTTCAAGCTTTGTGCTTCACTTCAACAGTTCACAAGGCCTTGTCTCTTCACAATGCTGTGACAATGAGCTCAACCGTAATACTTGGTTCTGGCATTATCGGCCTATCAATCGCATATTACCTAGCAGACCATCAACCAGGCTCGACAATCCACCTCGTTGACCCTTCACCAGAGCTGTTCGCCTCAGCTTCAGGCTATGCAGGCGGCTTCCTCGCAAGAGACTGGTTTTCACCTGATTCAGCCTCCCTCGGAGCGCTGAGCTTTGACGAGCACAGGACGCTCGCCGAAGAGCATGGTGGCACAGAGAAATGGGGATGGTCCACGAGCACCACATTCAGTCACGCAGCAGCACCTGTAAAGAAGGGCAAGAAAGATGCTGGCTGGTTACAGGACGGCGGTAGCAGAGCAGAGGTCGTCGAAGCCGTCGAGAATCCAAGTAATGGGCCACCGTGGTTGAGGAGGGAGCATGGCGATGACGTGCAGATCATCGGGGATCCAGAAACCACGGGCCAAGTGTGCGTCTCCAGTCCAGCTTCATGCACTCATGCACTCATGCACCCACATGATGCACACACCATCTCCTTCTCTCTCTAGCAAGCCACTTCAACATGCTGGCTGGGCATGAAATCTGACTGCAATCACCAGGGATCCCCTCCGCCTATGCCACTTCCTTCTCGAAGAGTGCAAATCTGCCGGCGTTCGCGTCCACCACCCGGCCACAGTCCTCTCCATCCACACCGACCTCCGCGATGAGCTCTCATCAGTCAGGATAGGAGAAACGACATCCTCCACAGAGACAGACGTCCCTTGCACCCGCCTCGTCATCGCAGCCGGCGCCTGGTCACCTCGCGTCTTCTCCCAGCTGTTTCCCGGCACATCATTGCAGGTGCCCATCTCCAGCCTCGCGGGGTACTCGCTCGTCGTGAAGCCAAAGCCTAGCCCCTCAGAATCGAGCCCTAGGAACGTCAAGGCTACGACAGCCTGCCACGCCATATTCAGCACCGACGGCGCCGGCTTTTCGCCGGAGCTATTCTCGCGGGTCGGAGGCAACGTCTACGTTGCCGGCCTGAATTCGCCATCCACCCCTCTCCCATCTCTACCAGGCCAAGAACCCATCTCCGCCGAAGCCATCGCCAAGCTCAAAAGCACGGCGGCGCGCATCATCACGAACAGCAACGACAGCGGAACGGATCTGGAAGTCGTCCGAGAAGGTCTCTGTTTCCGCCCGGTGACGGACTCGGGCGCTCCCATCCTGACCCGGATCCCGGACGACCAGCTCGGGGGCGTTGCGACGCGCACCGGGGCCGAGGGCGGTGTATTTCTCGCGGCGGGACATGGGCCTTGGGGCATCAGTCTGAGTCTCGGGACGGGAAAGGTGATGGCGGAGCTTATGCAAGGGCGAAAGCTGAGCGCCGATATATCGAGGCTTGGCCTGACGTGAGGGTAGCAAGCCTTGTGCCCAGCTAACCCGCTTGGTTTAGCTGTTCATGCAGAACCTATCATGGATTCGATGATGATGATGACCAGGCGGCAATGACATCTCTTAGGTGGAAAAGGAGGCTCCTCCAGAATTTCCTTGGAAAATACTTCTGCCCAAGGTGCCTCGAGCGCAATGGCTCCAAGTCCTAAACCCGATCGATGAGGCGACGCCGATATCACGATCAGCGCCTACATCCACATCGCCACTCGTGACTCTTGGAAAGCCCGCACACCCACGGTAGCGGCTTGCACAACGGCGCGGGTGCTATGACAATGCATTAGTAGCAGCCGCCCGTGGCGCTTGCGTCGTGAGGGTGTGTAGGTGTGCAAAGCACCGGCCAGTCTCCATCGTGGGAGAGCACTTGCTCCTCAGAAGCCGAAACGCCTGGGGGGGTAAACTTGTCAAGGAACAGGCTGGCGCGGCTACATCGGCTCTTTTGCTGTATGTCAAGAGCTGGGCCATAAAGAAAGAAAAAAATAATTACAATTTGCCAAGTTCTGTCTTTACGAGGCGGACGCGGAGGCGGACGCGGCGGGGCGGTGTTTGTTGAATCTGTCTCCCGTCGGCAGTCGTACATGGGACAGATGCTATTCTTCTGCCCATCGTGTCCTTCGTTTCTTCTCGTAAAACACGGCAGAAAACTCTCTTTTCGCCCTGCCAAAATTTTGCCCAGAAATAGCCGCCCATGGTTGGGTCCAAGACTATCCCGTACCCTATGGAGTATGTCATACACTAAGAGCACGAGGATATCCACTGCGTGAACTAGTAAAGAGGCGGGAGGAGAAACTATGACAGGGTTCACTGACCAGAACGTGATCCCTCCGAGGTTGTCGTTGTGGGGATTAGTGAACAAAAGAAATATGAGATGAGCACTGAAAAGAAGAGGCCATCACGGACCTCGCGCCAGGGCTAGGCTGATGAAGGTGGACTGTGAAAGTTTGAACTGTATACATAGGCCGTAGGCATACCAGGAGAGAAATCTCTTCACCGAAATGGAGTTTGTCGAGTGAGCACACGAATGGAACAATGTAGCTTAATTTCTGGAGAACTTTGGTTGGGTCGGACATTGCGATCCCTGGGCAACGGAGCGCATTTTTGTGGAATTTTGCGCCGTTCTCCGCGGCAGTTCCGTGCTTATCCTCTCTGTGCCTCCCAAGGGCTAATTGTTCGGTCAACCCAAGCTGCCGCTAACATAGTCCGTGGAGCGGATTCAGAGGCTCCTCAACGTTTCCATTGTAACTCCGTATCTTCCCACAGTTACTGTCATGATGTGTCATCCCTTGTTCCTGGATTTTGGACCCAATGACCCGTTCATCCCCCCCTGTTCTAGCAATTAGGTACTACGTACACGTGCCGGTAGAGTGACGAATTCACATCAGACGAAGCAAGCTGACTGCATCGGTGAAAACCGATAGTTCGGTTCTGTTAATAACCACCACCCCCAGGGCCCAATCTCTCATCATTGTCCCAATTCGTGTCCCCTGTCAATGTGCCTTCCCGGGGCAACAAGCCTCATTCTGCAATTGAGGCCATAGGCTGTTATAGGCCTCCCTTGCAGTATCTCGGGAGCTTTTCTTCCATGTCCCTGGATAAGAGTCCGACAGAGAAGAAAGAAAGCCATTGGTTTTTCCTTTGGAGGCTCCGTTGCGTGTCGCATCCGCGAGACTCTCTAATTTGCCACAGTTCAAGCAAGGGCGCACAAATCAGACTGCACGGGGCCACGGGTACCTGCATGTCTGGTCACTCAGCCTCATATACATGCCTGTCTACGACTCTATGTAGGGTACCTGTCTCATCTCCTTTTTCTTCGGGTGTGCTATATCTCTACACTAGAATAGCATTATGACCTATCCTCTACTCCGTGCCGGGCAGTCACTGTCAATTCCAAGTTTTTTGGCCTCGACACGTCGCCCACCACAATGCAGCAATCATGATGGTGTTCATCTCATCAATGCCCGCAAGTACCAGCAGCAGCCTAAGAAACCCCAACGTCGGCACGGCAGTTATGTGCCGCGTGAAATGTGATGCGTCAGCAACGGTTCCCAGGCATGGGCCCCTCCTTCCTTCTCTAGAAGCTGTCACGACTCATGAACACAGCCAGCTTGAGGTTTCCACGCGATGTCATCCCCCCATCACACTTACATACACTATGTACTATCGTCCGGTGTGCATCTGTTCGAAGTAATTAGTGCACCGTACCCATCAGCCCGAGCGGGGATGAAGTCAGTCATCCACACTGGAGCTGTCTGTCAGCTTATGTTGGTTTCCAAGGCTCTGGTAGCTACCCGTATCCAATGATCCATTGGGACCTACTGCGTAGAGGATGAAGATCACCACCCACCCACACAATCACACACACCGCAACGAAAAACGGTCCACGAGAGCCAAGTCTACTCATGCACGACTCATCATGCAGAACTAGCATCGCAAGTACCTCTCAAGTCACAAAATCCTCACGATAGTCGATGGAACCAACCCCGCCAGGCGTGAACCAGTCCTACAACACCAGCTGAAGAACCGTGAGAAATCCACCACACGGGAAGCCGACCGTGCCCCTAACCCCCTTCCGAATCGATTGGCTACCTCCCACGAGATCTCGACACCAAATGCACCTTTTTGACAAGCGCAAACGGTCTTCCGGATCCGAACAGATATTCTGTACGGATACGGATTAGGCGGGTACTCGGCATTGCTGGCGCCTAGGCTAGCGCGACCTAAATCACTGTGACTATCGATCACGGGATAGGTGTGTATGTCTCACCGTCCTCACAGACGAGATCTTCATGTTCGATCCCGAGCAGGCCTACACTTCTCAAAGACTGCAAAAGCCCGTCGTGCCGGGAATTACGGTCGTAAAGGCTGTAGCTTGCTTTCATAAGCCTACTTTATTTGGCATCCCGACGCCCTCGTGATGGAGTTTAATCCCGGGAGCTTTGACCCTTTCTGAACCTTTGAAGAAACAATTTTGAGTTCAGCGCGACAGGGGCGTAAATTGTTTTCCGGGTTTGCCCAAAGGAACTCGAAAGGGCGTCGAAGTTGCTACCGTGCCATGCCAAGACGTCTGGTGTCCACAAGCAGTGAGCTGTCGAGTCCGAAAAATTCATTGAGCACCATTAGGCTTCGGCACCAGGTGGTATCGTCGGAGGAGGAGCTGGGAGCTGTTTGTCCCCGCCGCCGCCGCCGTCGCCAGCACAGCAGCACAGCGGGGGGCTTGTCTGTGTTTAAGCTTCTGTGCCTGTCAGGCACAGCCATCCCAGCACTTCCGCAGCGTCGCATTCGAGAGCCACAGCCATGTGGGTGGTGAGAGAAAGGACGGGCAAACTCGCAAAACCCGAAATGCGAGCACGAGATGCAGAGAGAGTAGTGAGAGCAGTGCTGCTGCGCCACGAGGTTTTTTGGATGTCCACGTGGAAACATTCGATGGCATCCTGCCCCCCCCCCCAACCTTCGCGGGAAACGAAAAGGTTTACCCCGCTCGCAAAGATACCATGGAGAGAGAGCCTAGACTAGCAGGAAAGGGAAATCGTAATCATCACCTGCTCCCGGTGAAGTTTGGATACATTCACAGTCACACACACGGCGAGAGCGAAACCTGCGAAGCTGAAGGCGTACGCGGTGGGTTGGCCAATTGTCCAATCACAGGCCAGAAGTCCTGAATCCCCCCTTTAAGCTCCGGCCTTGGCCGGCCCATGTTTTCTTTGTCTGCGAAAAAGATCACCAATTCGCCTCCGGTGGGAGACTTCGGTCAGTCGATGGGAAAAGCTCGGCTCATGTCCGTCTCTCTCTCCCCAAGAGCGGCCGCTGGGCGGGTAGGCTCACAGGACACGTTGATTGGTAAAGAGTCGAGACTCGAGGGGGGAGCCCGTAGACGGTATGTAGAACAAGGGATTCGGGCCTACTGAGGGGTGTTGGGCCCAGAAACAACCTTCGGGACTAGCTGTCCGCCCGTCTCCTGTGAATTCGTTGTTTGCGGAGGGTCTAGCAGCAGAGAGCGCTGGGTCTCCCGTGCGTAAAGGAGAAACTTTTGCAAAAAGGTTGCGCTCGCAAGTCCCCGTCGGTGAGGGAAGGCCCACGACGGGCAAAACGTGTGCGGTTACCGTAAGGTCACAATCCTCGAATTTACACGCCCGAGCCGCCGTGGGTTCCGTGTTGCCATCAAAGTTCGGTCGGATCCGGGGGGCTTGGGGCTTTCCTCGAATTCCCAAAGGGCGGCCTTACGGGCTTCAGGACAAAAGCCTAAATTGGTTGTTTCGGTACCTTGCAGCAAGCGGCACGGCAAGGAAGAACGCGGAAACATGATTCTGTCATTTTGCGGGTAGAGTCGTCGCAAGGGTTGATGGGACGATTTAGAGATGCCCAACCGGTTACCCGTGCCTTTGAGCCAGGGGTGTTGAATGGGAAGAATAAAGGTTCACTGACTAAGTTTCCCGTCTCGGCGGAACCAGGTCAGTCAGGTGCCCAATTGTTCGAACCCGTTCTTCCAACAGTCTTTCTCGTAGTGTACGGAAAGTTCTTACCTACGGACATCCAGGGGATGGTGCTTGGCATTGACTCGGCATGAGACGAGAAGATGATCGTCAGGACAAGCAAGGTATGGCAGTTGGGAACATTGGGCACCGTGACCTTGATGATGAAGTCAGAAACATGAAATGCATTGCATCAGAATTTACAACGGGTATCCATCTGCTCTCATGTAAGGCCCTTTTTTTTACTTCCAAGGCAAAAGCTACCCGATCGTGGCATCACTGCTTCACATTATCGATCATCGGTACCAGAGAATTGTGTGCGTGATGATGTGAACCCGAAAGAACAGAGCCTGGCAAGCATTAAAGATATGCCAGGGTTTTTGTCTTTCGTGAATAAAATTACAATATGAAGACGATGCTATATCGGGGCGTGTGTCGTGTTGTTTTTTTGGACCAGGCCGCCTAAACCCAGTTCACACCCCCATCCCCGTCCCC